TCACAGCAGCCCCAGACAAACAGTTCTGGAGCTTGGGCTCCAGATTTTGCTCAAGTCTAATTTGAACGTGTCTTCCTGCAACTTATTGATAAATTCTTGTCCCAGTATTCGAGATGTGAGCTGGTGTCTTCTAAGCAGAAGCTTTTTATGAGCTTGATGTATTCAACCATAACATCTTGCAAGTTTTCTCTTGTTTGGTAAGCAATTCCAATTTTTCATTTTTCATCATCTGTTATGTTTTAAAATACAGTGCACATTTAATCATTGTTTCTGTCATTTTGCAGGTCTGCCCTGACTTGAAGTTGGTCAAAACTGGATCCTACATCCCAGCTGATGTCTTATCAGGGTACCTTTTGTATCTTGCAGACCAGACAACTTTTTATATATCCCAGTGTGGACTTTATCTTCCTTGCAAAAGAATGGTGCTACGATTCCCAATGTCTCCTTCCTCATCTAGGATCATTACAAACTGAAGGTATCTCTTCCCAGTTCCAGCACAAGTACTGGAACCAAGCTTCTTCATGTAACTTTACTTTGACCTTTTTTCTTGGTGTTTATGGAAGTAAGAAAATACATTTTAGAGCTAGTCATTTCAGTTCTCTTCAACTAATTTGCTAATCATAACAAAAGAGCAGCAGCTAAAAGTATGCCTATTGTTACAAGGAAGATTTTTTGGTGTGTTTCCTGAAATGGCGCCTGTCATCGTCTAACCCTTTTCTGTTGCAATGCTTCTTAATTATTCCTGCAGTAAAAACTGGCTCTGGAAAAATTAGGTTCCAACAGGAAAAGGCAAATATTACATAAATACAAATTATGAATGATAAGGTAAATAAGACAAATGATAAGGTATATAACACATGCAATTATATTACCTATAATGTAATATAGCAGAGAAATTTGTCATGATCCATAACTTGATTTCCAAAACATAGCTATATATTGGTAAGTGTAAGTCCTCTCGTGTATTATTTAATATATAGCTTTATTTTGATATAGGAGTACAGATCCCTACATTCCATGAAACACAGAAACTTTGAAATTAAAAGTATTTGTGAAACACAAAACATTTTTAGCAGAATACTATGGTATTGTGGGTGTAAAATATTTCACACAATAAACTGCTGGGAGTTGTACTTAGTAGGTGCAAAAGAGTCTGTTAATTATTTTAATTAATTAATTCTATTTTTATAGTCCCATTTAATCTCACTTTGCTAATTCTCAGGCAAGAAAACAGGTTTGCTGTTGAACTGTATAAAAGCTAACTCTGTAAAGTGCATCAAGAAGAGCTCTGAAGAGCAGTGGCTTTCAGAGTGTGACCCTCATTTACAATTATTGCCCAGCATTTTTTCCATCCTACCTCTTGGCATGTCTACAGCTCTGGATACATGTTTTTCACTGTGTCATCTTTGATCTATCATGTTAATTGTTATGAGCTGTTGCAATTATTTTGAGAACACATCAGATTATTTTTTAATGAAAGAGGAAAAATCGCAGAAGATAACCTACCAAGAAATACATATCAGAACCAAATTTGTCCTTATTTTGTGAATCTTGCTTGGAATTTTTTAATACTTCTCATTTTCTGGCCTGGATGCAAGAGTGT